TTTGCATCTATGTTGTTCAGTGATATTGCCCTGTAGTTTTCTTTTTTTGTGACATCTTTGTCTGTTTTTGGTGTCAGAGTGATGGTGCCCTATTGAATGAGTGTGGGAGTGTTCCTCCCTCTGCTATATTTTGGGAGAGTTTGAGAAGAATATGTGTTAACTCTTCTCTAAGCATATGATCGAATTCACCTGTGAAGCCTTTTGGCCCTATGCTTTTGTTTGTTGGAAGATTTTTAATCACAATTTCAATTATAGTGCTTGTGATTTGTCTCTTCATGTTTTTTATTTCTTCCTAGTTCAGTCTTGGAAGCTTGTACTTTTCTAAGAATTTTACCATTTCTTCCAGGCTGTGTATTTTATTTGCATATAGTTGCTTGTAGTAGTATCTCATGATCCCTTTTATTTCCACAGTGTCAGTTGTTACTTCTTTTTCATTTCTAATTTGGTTGCTTTGAGTCTTGTCCTTTCTTTTTTTCTTGATGAGTCTGGCTACTGGTATGTCAATTTTACCTTCTCAAAGAATCAGCTTTTAGTTTTATTGATATTTGATTTTTATCCTTTAATTTGTTAATATGGTGTATCACGTTGATTGACTTGCATATATTGAAACAGTAGTTTCCTTCATTTCCTTTTCATTTATTTCTCATGTGATCTATATGATTTCTTTCCTTCTGCTAACGTTTTTTTGTTGTTCTTCTTTCTCTCATTGCTTTAGGTGTAAAGTTAGGTTGTTTATTTGAGATTTTCTTTTTTCTTGAGTTAAGATTGTATTGCTGTAAACTTCCTTCTTAAAAACTGCTTTTGTGGCATCCCATAGGTTTTGGGTCAATGTGTTTTCATTGTCACTTGTTTCTAGGTATTTTTTGATTTCCTCTTTGATTTCTTCTGTGATCTCTTGGTTATTTAGTAGTGTATTGTTTAGCCTTCCTGTGTTTGTATTTTTTACAGTGTTTTCACTGTAATTGATATCTAGTCTCATAGCACTGTGGTTGGAAAAGATACTTGATACGATTTCAATTTTCTGAAATTTACCAAGGCTTGATTTGTGTCCCAAGATATGATCTATCCTGGAGAATGTTCCATGAGCACTTGAAAAGAAAGTGTATTCTGTTGTTTTGGGGTGGAATGTTCTATAAATATCAATTAATTCCATCTTGTTAAGTGTATCATTTAAAGCTTGTGTTTCCTTATTTATTTTCAGTTTGGATTATCTGTCCATTTGTGAAAGTGGGGTGTTAAAGTCCCCAGTATGATTGTGTTACTTTCAGTTTCCCCTTTTATGGCTGTTAGCATTTGCCTTATTTATTGAGGTGCTCCTATGTTGGGTGCATAAATATTTACACTTGTTATATCTTCTCTTGGATTGATCCCTTGATCATTATGTAGTGTCCTTTTTTGTCTCTTGTAATAGTCTTTATCTTAAAGTCTATTTTGTCTGTTATGAGTATTGGTATGCCAGATTTCCTTTGATTTCTATTTGCATGGAATATCTTTTTCCATCCCATCACTTTCAGTCTGTATGTGTCCCTAGGTCTGAAGTGGGTTGCTTGTAGACAGCATTTACACACGTCTTGTTCTTGTATCCATTCAGCCATTTTGTGTCCTTTGGTTGGAGAATTTAATCCACTTACATTTAAGGTAATTATCGATATATATGTTCCTATTACCATTTTCTTAATTATTTTTTTGTAAGTCTTTTCCTTCTCTTGTGTTTCCTGCCTAGAGAAGTTGCTTTAGCATTTTTTGTACAGCTGGTTTGATTGTGCTGAATTCTCTTAAGTTTTGCTAGTCTGTAAAAGTTTTAATTTTGCCATCAAATCTGAATGAGATCCTTGCTGGGTAGAATAATCTTGGTTGTAGGTTTTTCCCTCTCATCACTTTTAATATGTCCTGCCACTCCCTTCTGGCTTGCAGAATTTCTGCTGAAAGATCAGTTGTTAAGCTTATGGGGATTCCCTTGTATGTTATTTTTTGCTTTTCCCTTGCTGCTTTTAATATTTTTGGTTTGTATTTAATTTTTGATTGTTTCCTTAATATGTGTCTTGCCATGTTTCTTGGATTTATCCTGTATGGGACTCTCTGCTCTTCCAGGACTTGATTGACTATTTCCTTTCCCATGTTAGGGAAGTTTTCGACTATAGTCTCTTCAGATATTTTCTCAGACACTTTCTTTTTGTGTTCTTCTTCTGGGACCCCTATAATTTGAATTTTGTTGCATTTAATGTTGCCCCAGAAGTGTCTATTCATTCTTTTTTCTTTATTCTGCTCTGCCACAGGTATTTGCAGTATTCTATCTTCCAGCTCACCTATCCATTCTTCTGCCTCAGTTATTCTGCTATTGATTCCTTCTAGAGTATTTTTCCTTTCTTTGTTTGTGTTCTTCATCACTGTTTGTTTGCTCTTGAGTTCTTCTAGGTCCTTGTTAAACACTTCTTGTATTTTCTCTATTCTATTTCTGAGATTTTGGATCATCTTTACTATCATTACTCTTAATTGTTTTTCAGTTAGACTGCCTATTTCCTCTTCATTTGTTTGTTCTGCTGGGTTTTTGCCTTGCTCCTTCATCTGCTTCATATTTCTCTGTCTTCTCATTTTGTTTAACTTAGTGTGTTTTGGCTCTCCTTTTCCTCAGCTTTGTAGTTCCCATTATTTTTGTTTTGCCCCCAGTGGGTGAGATTGGTTTATTTGCTTATGTAGGCTTCCTGGTGGATGGGACTGGTGCATTTCTTCTGGTTGGTAGAGATGGATCTTGTTTCTCTGGTGTGCAGGGCCACATCCGGTGTGGTGTTTTGTGGTGTCTGTCAACTTAGCATGACTTTAGGCAGCCTCTCTGCTAATTGGTGGGTTTTTGTTCCTGTCTTGCAAGTTGTTTGCTGTGGGGCATCCAGCACCAGAGCTTGCTGGCCATTGGGTGGAATGGGTCTTAGTGTTGATGAAGTCTCTGGGAGAGCTCTTGCTTATTGATATTACATGGGGCTGGGAGGTCTCTGGTGGTCCAATATCCTGGACTTGGCTCTCCCACCTCAGAGGCTCATGCCCGTCATCCAGCTGGAGCACCAAAATCGTGCCAGCCACACAGCTTGGAGTAAAGGAAGGAAAAAAAAGAACGAACAGATAGAACCCCAAACCAAATGGTAAAAACAAAACTAAACAGACAAAATCAGACAAAGAAACGTACCCATGTGTGCACGCAAACACACACACACACACACACACACACACACACACACTCATAAAAAACAGACAAACAACCAAAAAACAACAAGAGCAAAAAAAGAAAACAAAACAAAACTACCAGACAGAACCCTAGGACAAATGATATCAAACCTAAAGAGACCAAATCATACAAAGATACATACATACATGCATTTACAAAAAGAGAAAAAGGGGGAAAAATTAAAAATAAAAATATTTTAAAAATTTAAAATAAAGGAAGGTAACAACCAAACCAATAAACAAATCCACCAGTGATAACAAGCACTTAAAACTAAACTAAGAGAAACATAAAACCAAAAACAAATCAGACTTAGAAAGCAAACCCCAAATCTACAGTTTCTCCCAAAGTCTACCACCTCAATTTTGGGAACATTTGTTGTCTATTCAGCTACTCCACAGATGCAGGGTTTTATCAAGTTGATTGTGGGGATATAATCCACTGCTCCTGAGGATGCATGGAGAAATTTCCCTTTCTCTTCTTTGTTCGCACAGCTCCTGGGATTCAGCTTTGGTTTTGGCCCTGCCTCTGCATGTAGGCCACCCTCAGGTGTCTGTTCCCCACCCAGACAGGAGTGAGTTCAAGCAGCAGCTGATTAGGGCTCTGTTGCTCGCTCCAGCCAGGGAGAGGGAAAAGTATGGTAGTCAGAATTAGAATGTGGGGGTGAGCCTGCAGCACCAGAGGCTGACATGACATTGCAACAGCCTGTGGTGCACCATGTGTTCTACCAGGGAAGTTGTCCCTGGATCATGGGACCCTGGCCATGGTTTGCTGCATGGGTATCCATGGAAGTGTGGGTAGTGACCTGCACTTACACAAAGGATTCTTGGTGGCAGTGGTGGCAGTGTTAACGGTCCATGCCCATCTCTGTGGTCCAATCTGATAGCTGTGGCTCACTCCTGTCTCTGGAGCTCATTTAGGTGGTGCTCTGCCCTCTGTGGGCACAAGGAGCAGGAATCCCCTCTCCTCGCACACCCCAAAACAGTGGTCTCTTGCCTCTCCATCTGATCCAGACATTTTCCCAGACTCCTTCCTGACTAGCTGTGGTACACTAGTCCACTTCAGGCTGTCTTCACACAGCCAACCCCAGTCCTTTCCCTGAGGTCTGACCTCCGAAGCCTGAACCTCAGCTCTCAGCTCCCACCCACCCCGATGAGTGAGCAGACAAGCATCTTAGGCTGGTGAGTGCTGGTTGGCACTGATCCTCTATGCGGGAATCTCTCCACTTTCCCTTCTGCACCCCTGTTTCTGCACTCTCCTCCATGGCTCTGAAGCTTTTCCCCCACCTGTTCCCACCAGTGAAGGGGCTTCCTAGTGTGTGCAAACTTTTCCTCATTCACAGCTCCCTCCCAGTGGTGCAGGTCCCATCCCTATTCTTTTGTCTCTGTTTTTTCTTTTTTCTTTTGCCCTGCCCAAGAACATGGGGAATTTTTTGCATTTTGGGAAGTCTGAGCTCTTCTGCCAGCATTCAGTAGGTGTTCTGTAGGAGTTGTTTCACATGTAGATGTATTTTTGATGTATTTGTGTGGAGGAAGGTGATCTCCATGTCTCACTCCTCCACCATCTTGAAGGTCTCTTTTATTTATTTTTATATATGAATTTTTACAGGTTGTCTAATTCCCAAATAATTTCTTTATTATTAAATTATGAATCAATGTAGGAAAGATTGACATTATCATTTTTATATTTCTACATAAGTAGAGGGTCTGTTTTCCCATTTCTCCAGAACTTCTTTTGGAGTTCTCAGTAGCCTTTCCCTTTCTCTCTATCTTTCCTCTGCTCACAGCAAGATGGATTCTGGATATACTCTGAGTACTGTAACAACCACCTGGACGCCTGTATGGAGCTCTCCAAACTGATGAAGGACAGCCGCTACCAGCACTTTTTTGAGGCCTGTCGCCTCTTGCAGCAGATGATTGACATTGCCATTGATGGTTTCCTTTTGACGCCAGTGCAGAAGATCTGCAAGTATCCCTTACAGTTGGCTGAGCTCCTCAAGTATACCGCCCAGGACCATAGGTAAGGGATTGAGGGAGGCAGGAGTGAAGGAGAGAGCCTCCTCTACATGTTAATCCTTATTGAGAATGTATGTCCTCTTGCCTTTTCTGAATTTCTGTTAGCTTATATACACAATGGGATGATGACATATTCTTGCTTACCTCTGAAGACTGTTGTGTATATAAAGTGAGACAATGCTTATCAGTTGCTTATAAACTTATAAATCAATATATACACAAAATCAGTGTTCATCATTATTGTACCACTTAGACACTACCTTCAGGGAGCTTATAGCCTGGTCCTTAGTCCTGAGTTCAGCCAAGTGAATCAACTGTTTATTCTACTCTGCTCAATAGAGTCAAATATCCTGATAACAGACTGCCCTACTTGTACTGACCTTAGATTTCTTCTGAAAGGCTACACCCCTGGTCTTCTTTAGTCTTTTACACCCTCCTCTGCCTCATCCCAACTGTACCTTCCCCTTAGACACACAGCATGACTGGGGGAAAATAGACTTGAGACTTCCCCTGAAGTTTTCTCAAAGTTTTTCAGTATTTTCAAGAAAACCAGCCCAAAAAGGATGAAGGAGCTTATCTTTCTCTGAATGGAAATGACACTCCTAACCCTCTATTAGTAAGGTATATGCTGGGAGTCATCTCCAACAATGGGAATGGTCTACAGTGAACCATCCCCTATTTTTTCATGTGCTTTGCTTCATAACCTAGAGCCCCCAGCCTATTTATAGCCTGCTTTTAATTGGTATTAAATCCGTGACCTTAGGTTTATTGCCCCAGCTCTCAGCTCTCTTCCTGATTGATCACTATAAGAATAAAGAAGGCCTTTGCTCAATTTCCCTTAGTTTCTGCTTGCTTCTCATCAGGCCTGCTTCGTACTTTCATTTGGCTCCACTGCCTGGTTTCCTTGGATCTGACTTCCAGACCTAGTTGCATAAGGCCATCGGTATGCGTTGGTTGGTTTTTTTTACGTCAAGCTTCTAGGCCAATCCCTAGGTTCATTTTTAAGTTGATGTTGTTCTTTAGCATATCATGGGTTATGTGCTTCAGTGGTCTGAAGCCCTGGACAGATTTCAGATTTGAAACCAAATGTAGTAGCAGTGGACTCTCCCTTTGTATGGGTAACACCACCAGTGGTAACTCTGCCTTCTTTGTTCTGTTGGCTGTGAGCGAGGCAGGTGTAGAAGGACCTTGCAAAGGAGGACTCTGTTCCCTTCTCCCTGAGTCTGTTTACTAGCTGGGGAATAGTGGGAGTACTAATTAGACATGAAATTTGGAGGTGACTAAATCTCACTTAAAATATTTAATACAGCCCATTGCCAAAACTGAGTCCCAAGTTTTCTAAGGAGAAAACTTGTGAGAGCTAATAGGATGTTAAAGAACCCCAACTAAAATATCTTAATATTTTAAAAATAAAAATGGAAAACATTTATGGCACCTAAAATGGAAAGGGCCTTAGAGGAAGGTCTTCTAGTCAGACTTATTCATTCTATGGCTAGACAGACTGAGTCCCAGAAAGGGAAAATGACAAAGAGCAAGTCTGTGGCAAAGCAGGGACACAAAGTATGGACAGTGGTCTGGGAACCTAACTTTTTAAAGAGCGCTCCAGGTGATTTTCATGCCAAGGAAGATTTGTGAGCCATTGTACTAGCCAGTCTGGAAGGCCTTTTCTAGTTCTGCCATCCCATGTTGTAATGAATCTAAATGACCTCCACAGGAATACTTCAAGGTGCTAAGTGACCAGAAGCAGCCACTATTGCACCTAAATCTCAGTGGAGCTGCTTTCAGACCAGTGGTTTTAAAACCAGTATATTTAAAGAGTGATTCTCAAATGTTTTTATATCACAGCTCATCTCCCACCTACTCCTGAGTGTCTGCTCTAAAAATTATACTTGTGGACTGATGATATTAACTAGGTAAATTATGTATTTACATAAATGTTTTTAAGAGCCCCCCAAGGACCAATTTTAAAGCACAGCCAAAAATTATGTTTGTCTTTTAGACCAAAGCAACCCCAGGGCCTTTTGGGTTTAGTGGGAGCCAACAAGATAGCATATCTCCCTGGGATTTCCCATTCCTGTGCACCTTCACCTTGTGAGTGGAACCCCTGCATCAAGGCCTTCTTATCCTCTGGGTCTCTGGTCCCCTCTCCTTCCACCCCTAGGCTCAGGGGTGCTGAGAGAATGGCTCAGGCAGTCGCAGGCTACATCAATCCCTGTCCTCATTTGGGGTGACCCATTGGGCCTAGCACTATCCCCAGGCCATGGGCCACTCCTTCTTGCAGGCCTCAGAAAGCTTTATCAAGGTGATAGCTCCTGTGATGCATGCCAAAGTAGCTTGGGTTTGAAGGCAATTAGAGGCTAATGCCAGGTTGAAGACTTAGGTTGGTAGGTGTTCAGATAGGTAGGTCTGAAATGCAAGCAGGCAGAGTAGTCCCTGAGGGAGAAGATTAGGTGGATAGAGAGTGGTAAATGGAGAATAATACTACCATTGTTTACAGAAGGGTGACATGTCCCCACCCCCCCACCCAACCTTGCTTAAGCTGCTAAGAAGAAAGACTACGAGAGGGAGGTTAGCTGACCTGCCTGGAACAAGACAATCTTGGTTCAGTCAGTCTCCTCACTAGGGTGCTGGGCTCAGACCTCATCTGGAAGCCTGAGGGCTCTGAGCAGGGTTCAGGCTAGACCACAGCTATTTACTTTTTTCTCTCACCCACTCCTAAAGCTAGTGGGGAAGGTTAGAGATGGTGACATACCCCCCTCTAACCATCATGAGAAAGGCAGCCAGCTAAAAATGGCAAAGGTTGACTGACAGTATGGCACAGTGGCAGTGATAAATTCATGGCTAAGTAGTACATGGGGTCAGGCAGAGGTAATAAGCATTCTCATGCCAGCACTGTCCAATAGGACTTTGTACAGTGATGTAAATGTTCCATATCTCTGTGGTTTAATATAGTAGACACTGGCCACATATGGCTATTGAGTACTGAGAAATGTAGCTGATGCAACTAAAGAACTAAATTTTTATTTAATTCTAATTAAATGTGGCTAGTGGATACCATATTTGACAGTGTAACTCTATGCTTTACCTCCTAGAAAGTGGCTTAAGGCATTTTCCTGATGCTCTCAAATCAGGGAGGAATAGCATGGGAGACAGAAAAAGGACCTAAAGAACAGGGGTGCTTATTTACGTCAGCAACTTCTGCACTGCAACCACCCCTTCTGTCATTACCCTACCTTGCTTCTAAATGGCAAGCTCAGATAGTCTTGCCAGGGAAAAACTTTGACAGTTTTACAGAGCACAATAACTCCCCCACAGGTTGGAGCAAGTAACTGTAAAAGAATGAAATGTAACAGAAACAAATGTAATATTCTGTAGTTTGGTCTAAGAAATCAACAATTCAAGGACAGACTGAGAGACATACAGCTTCTAGACAGCATATTTTAAAGAAATTTAAGAAGTATTGGTTGATCATAAGTTCAGTATGAGTCAGAAGTGAGATCCACAAGAAAAACTGGTAACAGCTAACATTCATTAAGGCTCAGGATAAAGAGGTTCTGGTGTGTGTGTGTGTGTGTGTGTGTGTGTGTGTGTGTGTGTGTGTGTG